GCATTTAGCAATCATCTGGGGCATGACTGAACTAAAGAAGAAAATTAAAATTCACCATAGTCAAATATTCACTGAGAATGCCCAGTTCCTTTAAGAAATAAGCCAACAAGGTGACAAACCCCGTTAAAATACCAGTCAGATACAGCAATTGAATACAAAACATTGTCATACTTGTCTGACTGTGGACACTTGCCCAAATACATGTTGGTGTCCAAATATATTCAGACCTTAGTCTGAACGTATGTTAAAAATAATGTAACTCCCAGGTATTTCTGTTGTATTGCTGCCCTTCTGCATTTCTAAAATCTACCTTTGTATGTTTAAGTATCGACTATGAATCATTTTACATTATCTCAACTAAATTTCATTTTACCGACATTATTTATTTTGCACTCTTCTGCCATTTATCAAAGTGGGTTTGTAGTCTACTCATATCCTCTAAGGATGCATAATCCCTGCCAGCTTTATATCACCTTAATATCAGGTTGGTAAGATTCTCCACATTTGTTAATTGACCTCTGTGGTATCCTATTTATAACATCCTCCCAAGAGAATGGTGAAGTATTACAATTACCTCATATTTAATTTTTAATAAAATTTGACAGTTATCACACTGATATACATGCAGCATTAGCTTCCAGAAAGTGATGTGGTTTCCATTTCAAAGTCCTTATAAAACCATGTCCTCATGAAGGAAAAAAAAGAAAAAAATTTGACTAAGCCATGCTGTTTAAAATGCATATAAATGTATATAACCAGAAGTCAAATGCTTATTTTTTTTTTATAATCTTTATGAAAGCCTGTATTTGATATATAGTGGTGTGCAATTCTCTAGGTCTTCTATTGTTCTTCAAAAATGAGTATGGTAAGAACACCTCTGGCCTGTGTTATGCAGAAGTCAAACTATTTGATCAGAACAGGTCCTCCTGGCTTTAGCACTTAGCCATCTTCTGTTGTGCTGGAACTCAAGTGCCAAAAATTCACCACTTTCTCAAAAATTACTACTTGTTACAACTGTGAGATAACGGAAAATTAATTATTTATTTTTTAAAACAATTATGATATGACTTGTGAGGATCTGTTCAAGCTCTCAAATATCACCCTAAGAAGCCAGGTAAGGTGCTAGAGCCTCTTCATGAATCCTGACTGCCTCTAGTTCACAACCAGAACCAGCAATAAGCTGCAACTGTGAAAGAAGACATTGTTAATGGGAAAAATGCACACAGCTGACAAAGTGCAGATCTGCCCCACCACATCCAAAGCTTGGAGTATTTTTATCTCAAAAAGTCCAACCCATGTCCTTCTGGGCAGCTAAGAGACTGTTGCAAGTAACCGATGATAAAAATAGCCTATGATTGTTTCAGAGGAGGAACAATTTTGTTCCTCATTCAGCTGTACAATGTTCAGCCAGGTCTCAGTAGGCAAAAAGTGAAGGCCCCATAGCTGTCTCACAAGCAATTCTTGCTGGATGTTGATCTACGTAAGAGCTATTCATTTTTCCTTTCCTGAGCAACCTCACTTAGAAACTAGCCACTGCCCAGTGGTAAGCTAAAGGATGAAAACCAACTGCATGTGAGCTGACTCCAGCTAAAACAAAAATTATTTGTATGGGTATTTGAAACATTCTGAAGGCTTGCATCATTGGTGCCACTGCCTTTTTTTAAAGTGCCATACCAACAGTCAGTCAATTCAGTTTCTAATTTGAGAATTCTTCTAGCCTATCTGCTGATAATAAGCTTCTTTATAGCAGTAGACAACGCCTTACAAATTTCTGGCTGGCTAGGAAAACCTGCACCACCCTGGCAATCCATCACCAGTCGATCAGGCTTCAGCCAACATCATTTCTGTCACTTCTTGCACAGATTGCAAGCAGTATGCTATACCTAGTTATCGACCCTTAAGAAACTCCAAAAATACATCCCAGTACTTCAGGAAACTCCATCACATCACCTCCGACTACTGTAAGTCAAAGCAGTCTTCTGCTCATGGCACTGGCTTCCCATAGCAATACCAAGTCCATTAATTTGACTCCCAGTTCTTATCAGTGGTCTGAGATCCAGATCCTTTAAAAATCCTCCTGAGGCTCTGAGACGAGATTTTGCTGACAGTTTTGCTCTTCAGGTAGGACTGAGCTTTCTATAAAGTGCAGTTATTTGCACAAGAGACAGAGCTTTCTTGCAGGAAGATCTTTAGTTTGTGGGATTAATCATCATGCAAACTAAATATCATCAAAATCCTCACCTGATTTTTGATGCATGCACAAGGCATGCTTTTGAGGCTCCACTGTCCCTAGTATAATCACACTGAATGTGAGGAGGAATATGAGGGAGTATTGTCAAAAGCTATAGCAGGGGAGGGGAATCAGAGCTGGTCTATACTGGGACCAGTTGATGTGGTTCAATGGAAATAGCTAGTCAGCTGGCAGTCAAGACAAACAGGTTCCAGACATCAGAATTTCTTAAGTCAGTTCCTTCAAACTATGCCAACAGCGTGGGGGGAGATATTATGGAAGGAGGAAACAAATCTGCCTTTCCTTCAGATAAGGCCAAAGAAGAGGAAACTCTCAAAAAAGGTGAAACATAAGCATGAGTTTCATAAAAGACTATGTTCCCCCAACAGCAGTTCTAGCATCCAGCCTTACTGCTTGCCCTCTTATAACCTTTCTTGTTCCTTCTTGACGGGGAATTTTTATTCCATATTAAAACACTGTCCACTGGCAAGAATGAGGCTGAACCTTCCTGTATACTACATACATTCCTGGATATCACATTTAAAAATTTTCTGGCTCGAAAACCTACAGGAAACCTACAGGAAAAGGTCACAAGAATGATAAGAGTAATGAAATGGCTTTCATGCTAGGTAAGACTGAATAAGATAAGCCCTTGCATCTAGGAAGAAAAAAAATAGGTGTTGAAATGACAGAGGTTTATAAAATTGTGAATAGCATTGAGGCTAATAGGGAATGATCATGCGCTGTTTCTCATTTTAAAAGAACTAAAGAGACCTATACAGCATCAAAAGAAATTATAATATTTTATATTCTACAATATATACTAGATAACACGTATTTAAACTATGTTACATTGTTTCACTGTGTAACGGAGGTCAAAACTGTATATAAATGGTATAAGAACAGGTGCATTGATGGCTATTAAAATGAAGACTCACATGCAACCTTTTGCACTGGAGGTTTCTAAAGCTTTGATTTTTCATAAACTGGGAAGGTATGTCAGGGTAAAGACTGTTAAATAAACATCCCATTTCTTAAATCTTTCAGTGAGTATCCCTAAACGACCATCTCCAACCCTGGAAGAGTGGGAAAGACCAACCAATTTGTGTATGGTCATCCTGCTGTCCCAACCATTATTGTGGAACAGGGACCACCTCCAGTACTGGGGCTAAAATAGAGGCAGTGGGGTTGGACTGAATGTTGGGGTGGGGGTCCTGGCTGGGACCACCAGGCTTGATCTTGGGCTGAGTGGGAGTAGCTGGGTGCTGAGGAGGGCAGCAGCTGGCACCATGGTGACTAAGGGGTGTTGGAAAGGCCGAACGGGCTTCATTAAACTCCATGAAGAGCAGAGGAGGAGGAGAACTGTCTTGGCCAAGGTGGGTGATGGTGGGGTGAGGCAGAGGCACGGGCACCTCAGGCAGACGGAGCCCTAGGACAGGCTCGTCGCTCAGCCGTGCAGCTGTGGCTGCACCTAGGTGAGCTGCAACTGCAAAGCAGCTTGCATGAAACCAGGCCAGACAGCCAGGGCATGCCCAGTAATTCCCTGGCCTTGGCGTCGCTGTGCAGCTCATACGCTGGAAACGCACCTGAAGAAGGGTTATGTGTGAGTGGTGTGAATGCACCTCAGCAGGATGCTGTGGCAACTTCAGGTAAAATGATCTTTCAGAGGGTGGATTGGGAAACACATATATACAGATGATATCACCTCTACACCGATGATCCTGACATCCAGTTAAAATGTTGGTACCTGCACTCAAAGAGGATGCTAAAACACTAAAGCAGCAGCAGGAAAAAAAAAAAAAAAAAAAAAAAAAAAAAGTAAAAAAGGCACAAAAATGAGGGAATGGGGAAGGTAATTTACAGTGAGAGGCTGAAGAAGCTCAACCTCTTCGGTTTATCAAGAAGAGAATGGAGATGACTCGATGATAGTGCACATCTTTAGGAGCGGTCAATATACTGGGCACCACAGAACGGTCTTTAAGGAAAAGGCAGAAGTTCGAGAGTGTAAACTGAAGCCTGACAACTCTGGTTAGCAACGAGGAACACATTTTTAATCGTGAGGGTGAGAGCAGCCACTGGAACAACACACTAAGCCTTCAGCTCATCAGGTCTTCTCACTCCAGGCAGTGTTTCTGCCCAAAAGGCATTCTTTAGCCAAATGTATAATAATGCACTGCCGCGGCGTCTGCCAAATCCATCCTTGAATGTCATGTCAGTTTTATCCTCCAACTCTCAGGGGTTTTTTAGGAGCAGCTGAAACTGGCTGGTTACCGCACTATTGCCCCCTCCATCACCTGTGCATTCCTTGCGGTCCACCCCACCGCGACCCTTCCCGTGTCTAGCGGACAACCCGTGCTTGCGCGCTGCCGGTAACGCGGCCGCTCCTGCCACCGAGCGAGCATCTCCTCCCCAGGCCGCTGCTCCGGGCCAGCCGCCCGCCCCACTCGCAACCGCACCCACCTGCTTTTCACGCAACCCTTTGGGGGACACCAGGCTCTCCTGCAAGAGGAGAGATTCCCCGGAGGGCGGGATTCCCGCCGCCTCCCCGCGGGGATTTCCCCCGTCCCGTCCCGTCCCCCCCGGGGCGGCGGGACAGCCCGCACCGCACGCCTCGGCCGCGACCGCCGGTGCCCGGCGCCAGGGCTGGGCCCCCCGGGGGCGGCGTGGCGGCGGGGGGGTGGGACTGGGCGTTGCGTGCGTGTCTCCGGTGGAAATCCCGGACCCTCCAGCTCCGCCCTCCGCGTGTCCGTGGGCCGGGGGGGAGCAGCCCCGGCCGCCGCCCCGCCCCGCCATGCCGCAGCCGTAGGCAGCCCGCGGCCGCTCCCAGCCCGCGGCCTCCGGGCGGCGGCGGCGGGCCCGGGCCCGGCCCTGCCCGATGGGCAGCCTGCTGAGCGGGGTCAGCTTCAAGGAGCCCACCACGGTGGAGGACTGCGACTCCACCTGGGAGACCGACTCGGAGCCCGGGGCGGCGGAGCCCGGCGGCGAGCCGCGGCGGCAGGAGGGGGTGTGCACCGCCGCGGGAGGCGGGGAAGAGCCGGCCGAGCTGCCGGCCGCCGAGGGCCGGTCCCAGGAGCCGCCGCCGCCGTCCCCGCCGCCGGAGGAAGGGGAGCGGGCGGAGGGGGACGCCGGCAGCCCCGCGCAGGTACCGGCGGCGCCGGGGCGGGGGGAGGCGGGCGCGGGGCGGCGGCCGGGCTGCGCTGGCGTCTGCGCCCTGAGGGCTCCGGGCCGGGCCGGGAGCCGCCGCCGCCGCAGAACGGGCCGCGCTGAGGCACCGGCGGGCCGGGGCAGCTCCGCTCCCTTCCCCGCCCTCCTCCCCGCGCTGAGGCACCGGCGGGCCGGGGCAGCTCCGCTCCCTTCCCCGCCCTCCTCCCCGCGCTGAGGCACCGGCGGGCCGGGGCAGCTCCGCTCCCTTCCCCGCCCTCCTCCCCGCGCTGAGGCACCGGCGGGCCGGGGCAGCTCCGCTCCCTTCCCCGCCCTCCTCCCCGCGCTGAGGCACCGGCGGGCCGGGGCAGCTCCGCTCCCTTCCCCGCCCTCCTCCCCGCGCTGAGGCACCGGCGGGCCGGGGCAGCTCCGCTCCCTTCCCCGCCCTCCTCCCCGCGCTGAGGCACCGGCGGGCCGGGGCGGGGGCGGGCGGCGCGGCGCCGGCGCTCGGAGCGGCGCGCGCTGAGCCGAGCGCCGCGCCTCGGCCGGCGGCGGGCCCCTCGCCTTCCCCCACCGTTGCGCGAACCCGCGCTCGGGAGAAAACCGGGGCCCTGAAAGTCGTCGCCGGCCCCGCCGCCGCTGCTTCCAGGAAAGGTCCTGCCTTACCTTCAGTGAGCTCGGCCTCTTCGTGAAACGGGTTAAAAAAAGCTGAATATTAGGTCGTACGTGGCGACGGATTTGTGACTCCGCGGTGAGGAGTTTTTGGAGCGAGTGTCTGCCTTCCAGGAGCCTTTGAAAACGCTAACCCTAAGGGTTGCTTCACCAGTAATTTTATCGGAGTTAGAATTAAATGCGGGGTGGGCCAGCTGGATCTCTTTTTTAGCCCGTTAGATGCGTTATGCTTATGTTTGGTTCAGAAACGGTGCAAAAATAAATAGGAGTAAGCATTTGCCCCTTTTGGGCTTGATAGCATGTTTTGCCTGTAGGCATGGTCAAACCTGGTCTTGCAAAAGGGGGAGTGAAAACGGATGCTTGTTTGTCATTAATGTGCTATTGATAAGCCATGGGATGGTCAATAAGAAAGGCGAATGTCCAGTGCAGTGACAGGGAACTTCCCTTTTTAGGCTTGGCTTTAATATATTACATCCTTATTTCAAGGAGCAGGATGTTTTTGGTTGTAGTGTAGAGACTTATTTTACAAGATTGAAGAAGGCTAAACGCTTTGTTGCAGTATAGTTATAAAGAAATTACAAAGAAAATAAAGTTGTTGTTGGTAGCAGGTTGGAGTCTCTGTACATTAATGCTTAATTTTCTATTTTTTTTCAAAGCATGCAGCTTTTTCAAGCATTGTCTGAAGTCAGTGGAATTATTTCCGTTGACATAACTGGGCTCTGGTTGTTTCAGATCACAGCTTCCCAACAGCTGGGTGCCGGTACAAGTTCTCCTACATATGTGTTTCCCTAAGCAGGTTTTTGTTCTGGGGCTTAGTGGTTCTCCTTACTAGGCTTTAAATTTAAGTTCTGAGAAACAAATACTAGGAAATAGTTCAAGAAGGTGGTAGAATTGCAATTTGGCTTGTCCGTGACTATTCGCTTTCTTCTATGGGATGCAATGACAGCAATTAAGTCAGTGTACACATGACAAATAGTCTCTGCAATTAGTGTGATTTCCTGTTCAAAACAAGTAGTTTCTGCATTTTCATGTTTGGTTACTTATTTCATCTCATGCTAGCACTTGCTGGGTTACTTTGAAGGCTTGCATTCGGAAATGACAACCAACCTGTTGTTTTAAATCAAGTTCAGTCTCATTGGAAGGACATTTCATAGTGTTGCTTTTGTATTTTATTTTATTTTATTTTTAAGTTTAGGTTTAAAGTGTGTGGTGTTAAGTATTTAGCAGGGAGCTTTTCAGTGTTTGGCTAAACAGTAGGCAAATACATACACTTGTGTTTGTTTACATTGCTGATCTCCGTCATGAAAAATAAGTACTTTAATATGACACAAATTTGCTATTTACTGTGTTTGTGTATGGTTATTATCTGTCTAACTGTTTCAGAGCAGTGATGGAACCGAGCTGACAGCCAAGCCAAAGAGAAGCTTCTACGCAGCAAGAGATTTATACAAGTACCGACACCAGTATCCAGTAAGAATATTTTATGGTTTAAAATTGCCTTTTTAGTAGGAGACAGCACATAACCCAAGCATTCCTAGACCTTTGTGGTGCCTAAGAAATATAAGAAATGAGAATCAAGAAGCTGGTACAGAGGCCCAATGTGTGCTTGTGAGAGAGGAATGAAACTAGTGCAGTGTCTTTTCATCCCAGGTGTATGTGCAAACACATGAGATTTCTGAGCCTGGGAACAGTGTTAGGAGCCCAGAAAGAGGCTTGTGCCTTGAACATCGAAGAGGGTATATTATAGAGTTTAGACTTACAATTATTTGTTTCACAAGTTCCTTGAGACTGAAGTCAAGGTGCTGCTATGCTTGCTTCTCTAGCCTCTGCTTCAGTAGGAGAAGGTACCAGCCAGAAGGAACTTGCAAATCCTTAAAAATGAGTCTTTAAGTGCATAAGTAAAACTCTGTGGTTCCTAAAACTCTGATTTTTTTTTTTTTTTTTTTTTTTTTTTTTTTTGTCCTCAAATTAATCAAAAAGCACAAGACCACTGTCTGGATATTCTTGATAGATTTTTTTGTAATATGATAATGTCCTATTTCCTTTTTTTTAGCAGAACTTTAAAGATCTTCGATATCAAAATGACTTGTGCAATCTCCGCTTTTACAAAAATAAAATCCCGTTTAAACCTGATGGTGAGTAATCTGTGGCAATAATAGTGATAACAAAAAAATGCTCACTAATATTAGTAACAAAGTGAACTGTAGTGATAATTGTGGTGCTGACAAAGTTGTATAGCTATATATTGTATGACTTGAACCTCCTATGTTGAAGTAGCACGTTGATAACATGGGAGCAGGTTACGTTTAAACCAGAGTTAGATTTTGCTGTCGGGACGTGGTGCTTTTCTCCTGTGTTTTCAGCGTGATGTAGTGCAGCGTGTTGTTTGTAACACTTTACAGTAGTGGCACTACTTTTTATTAAGCAAAGTTGTTCCACTCTACTGCACAAGCTCTTGCTGCTTGAGTAGGAGTGGCAGGGAGCAGGGTGTTATCCCGAGCACTGGGTAGGAGAAAAAGAATGTGTTGTTGCTACCTTAGGTGAGATTATTATATTAACAATGATAAGATCATTTCTCAAAGTCCCCAGTGGTTCTGATGGTGAAGCAGGAGCCTCATATGCAGGGTTCTGCACAAACACAGGATGAACTGGAAGATGACAAACGCTGCTGTGGAGAGTTTGCAGTTGAAGTATGAGAGACAAGAGGGTAGCAGACAGATGGGGAAGCAGAAGGAGGCAATAAAACAGTCTTGGTTAGAATGATAGACAGGAGTCTTGGCACAAGAGAGCTTAGCCATTGGCAAAAAAAATTTTGCAGGCCAAAAATAAGCTTTTGGGAGTTTTAAAAGAACGATGAGGAGATTACTTTGAAGGTGTCTTCAGAAAGATCCTCTCAGCACGATAGCAGCTTGGGAGGAAATACTGAAGTGTGCACTGGAGTACAGAAGTGAGATGTGGAGGCTGCCATTGAGGCAGGATCCTGTTGGAAGCAGGATCAGTCTCATAGCAACAAATGGGTTCTGATAAGGTAGGAAGGGACAGGTCACAAAAGGCTTTGGAAGTGAAGATGTATAGTTTTTGTTTGATGTTACAGAAAAAGGCTTCACAATGGAAGAAGGCAAAGCAAAAAAAGAGGCAGTATAAAAAAGCTGCAGTCTAGAAACATGATCTTACGAGCAGCATTCAGGGTAGATGTAGGCGTGACGAGGGTACTTTTTCAAGGTCGGCAAAAAGGATATTGAGATACAAAACGTCAAAGTTCTGATAGGAAGCTGGATGGGAAGGAATGTTGTACATAAGGATGTAAAGATGTACATATAAGAAGGTTGAAGATGAGAGCTGTTTGTAAGCAAGATAGTGATAATATCCTCATCAAGTGAGAAAACAAGTCAGGTTGTGTGGAAGAGTAATAAGACCTTTGTTTTAATCATCTTCAACTTCATCTAGATATCCACAGGTAGATGCTGTGTTTTTAGCTTGACTGGAAGAAGAGTTAGATCTGTGAATTACCAGTACAACAGTAGCAAATTCAGGAGACGTTAAACAGAGAACAGATACAGAAAAAAGAAGGGCACTGAGGTCTATGTGAACCTGAGGACCACATGGACCTGAAACTGAAAGCCAGAAAAGGTTGGAGGAGGATCCCAACTTTTTTTTTTTTTTTTTTTTTAACATAACATAAAGTGCAAAATGAAGGAGCAATTGAAGAGGATTAGCCATGAGAAGAGACAGCCATGAAACCTAGAGGAGGGATTCCCTCCTAAAATTTGTAAAGAATAAAATTCTCTTAATAATTTAGGAGAAAACTGCAGTTGGTAGGGTAAAAGGTAGCTGGTAGTCCATGGAGGCTGAAGTGTTGATGGCTGTGAGCTCTGGTTATGTGGAAGTATTTATTGAGAATAAGAAAGAGTAGCCACCACCTTGACCTAAGTCTGTGGATCTATGAGTGTTCAGAGGGAGCCTAAGGTATCATGTTAGGGACTGAACTATTGGGGAATGTTATTTAAAAAAGACATTTCTAGTGCAGTACTAGATCTGCGGTTTAATTTCATGACCTACAGATTTATCTGGTGGTTTTGAACACAGAGCTGGCCTGTCTCTCTCTCTGCTCTGGAACTGAGCAGCAAGTTTTCCAGAATTTGAAATGTAGGTTGGATACAGTGCAGTGATGGTGGAAGGTCCTCTTTGCAAGGTCCTTTTCCAGCCTTTCCTGCACTGGAAACCCCATGTTCTTAGCAGCCTCTTTGACTGGCTGCTTTCTCCATTTCTTGAAGAAAAGTACCAAATGAGTTCTCCCTTTGTTATTGAGACCCAAATGGAAATTTTCACCAGGGAGAGAGAATGAGATCTCAGATGTGTAATAGGAGACTACCTACGTGGGGCTTTGGGCTTTTTAGGCCACTCCTGTGCAGTCTGACTTTGGGTGAGGCCGTGCAGCAGTGGTAAAACTATTGTTGGTTTCAGAGTAGAAACAAGCTAACACTGATCGTTTATTCATGGAAAGAGACTGTACAGGTTTTGTAACAAGAATCATCTTTTTTAATTTATTTTGCATACTTGTGCAGATTTTGCATTATGTATTTTGCATACCCATACGCGAATTTAAGGAGCACAATCTCAGCGCGAAGAATGATTAATGTCCTTTTACATGTACTTTGTCCCCTTTTTTCTATCACTCTGTCTTTCCGAGAGGAACTGACTGAATTCCACAACTGTTTTAAGACCACTAACAGCTGAAATTCTCATTTGTTGAGCATGACCTGAGAACTCAAGGTCAAACTCATAGCAGTGGCAGCAAGACTCTTGGCCGCAGCCAACTGAGAAAGATTTCCCGATCTTAGCGTTATTTGCAGCCGGAGAGATTCCTGGAATAGGAGATTTCTTAGAGTTGAGGCTTTGTTCTACGAAGACGACACATATATCTACATCTATATGCGGAGTTTTGTCATATTAAAGCAATGCCAGGTGATTCACAATGCTATGTTTTCTGTAAACGGCTTGTTAATTACCAGTCAGTGTAATAAAGGGATCTAGGACATGAGAACTTTTGGGGAAGTATATTTTACAGAGTTTATTGTCACATACCCTCTGCTGGTAAGTAACTCAGTATAAGTCAGTTGGTTTTGTTTATCTTGAAATTTGATAAATCTCTTGGTTTTAATTAAATTTTAGTAATGTAATTAAAAATATTAATTAATAATTAATGGCTATAATAGACCTTATTTGACATAGTATGTGAAAGATAACTGAAGTATGCATTCCATCATTATGGTAACATGCCATGTACTTTATGTAGCTGAATGATGTTTTTGATGGCTACCTAACAGTTTTCAAATTATTTTTGTACAGGGGTTTATATTGAAGAAGTGCTAAATAAATGGAAAGGAGACTATGAAAAACTGGAACATAACCACACTTACATACAGTGGTTGGTCACTTATTACCTATTTCTGTTTCAAAGCATTAATTTGATTAACTGTTCATATACTGTGAGCTGTAATGTGCCTTTTCTTTTAACAGGCTTTTCCCGCTGAGGGAACAAGGTCTGAACTTCTATGCTAAAGAATTAACTACATATGAAATTGAGGTAATACAAATTGAGCTCAGTACAAACCATCACATTAATTTTGATACATAACTGCTTTTTGTTATCTAGAGTTGTTTTCTTCAATGCAGAAGTACTTGCTGTAGTGCCACTTAGAATTTTGGATGTATTCTTTGTTTATTAGGAATTCAAGAAAACAAAAGAAGCAATTAGAAGATTCCTTTTGGCTTACAAAATGATGTTGGAGTTTTTTGGAATAAAACTAATTGATAAAACTGGAAACGTAGCACGAGCTGCTAACTGGCAAGAAAGATTTCAACATTTGAATGAGTAAGTAATGACGTGCACTTCACTCTCTAGAATTGCCGCAGAATCTCTTTAGCCTTTTGTTTTCTAGAGAAAGGGAAGATACGTTTTCACAGTTCGCCAGGAAAAAGAGAAAAAGAAATAGTCAATGCCTGGTTTGTGTCTGTATGTGTACATTCCTCCTTCCCCTTTTTTTTGATTGTGCTTCTCACCCATTACCAGTCTAATTGACATAATTGAATTTCCTCAAAATACACCTTCAGATGGTGGTGAAGATGATCACTGTTACAAATTAACTTGTTTCTCATGCTACTGAATGCATTTTCACCTGATCCCAAAGTGCTGCTTCTCAGTTGGAAAGGACGAGTGGTTTATATTTGTATTCACATTTCTTTTTGAGAAAAATCAAGTTCTCCACACCTGTGTGGAAGCTAAATAACAATATTTCCCTCCCTTCTCAAAACATGATATACTATGTATTTAATAATTTTTAAATGCAGTGGTAAACTGGAGAGGTTTAGACATGCATTAAGTCAAATTTTAGCCCAACTTTCAGCAAATTACACCTGTTGCTTTTCATCGGCATTGTGTGGAGCATAAGTTTGCACACTTTTCAAATCTTCTGATCATTTCCCTAATACCTCTGACCTTAAAGCTGAAGATTGTTTTCTTGTATTATTTATTCTGCCATCCAAATGAAAGCTTGCACATAGAATTGCTGATGGCTAATTTGGGGCGAATAATGTCAATAATTTGTTATTAATTTCGCTTAAATATTATATGAGGCAGTAGGGGTGTGGGCACAGACTCGGGCCACAGATAAACCAGGGTTTCAGGAAGCCCAAATGTTACTCACTGCACATTTTTAGCACTGCAAGTCCTATAAGCCACAAAGATGCTCAGGGGGCTGGAGCACCTCCCCTGTGAGGCCAGGCTGAGAGAGTTGGGGCTGTTCAGCCTGGAGAAGAGAAGGCTCCAGGGAGACCTTATAGCAGCCTTCCAGTGCTTAAAGGGGGCCTACAGGAAAGATGAGGAGGGACTCTTTATCAGGGAGTGTAGTGATAGGACTGGTTTTAAACTGAAAGAGGGCAGATTTAGACTAGATGTAAGGAAGAAATCTTTCCCGTGAGGGCGGTGAGACCCTGGCACAGGTTGCCCAGAGAAGCTGTGGCTGCCCCCTCCCTGGAAGGGTTCAAGGCCAGGTTGGATGGGGCTGGGAGCACCCTGGGCTGGGGAAAGGTGTCCCTGCCCAGGGCAGGGGGGTTGGAACTAGAGGATCTTTAAGGTCCCTTCCAACCCAAACCATTCTATGATACTCTCACCAGTGAGTAGCTACGCAGTTTTAAGTCATGAATTCGGACTCTTTTTACCTGATTTTAGCCATCTAAAATACAGGCATTTAAGTTTTCCTGTTTACTGACGTGTACTTCATGAGGGAGAGAGTTCTCCACAAACAGTTCCAGAAGATAGTTCATTCCATTTATATTATTCAGTTCTTATGACAGTGGGACTTGCTCTCCAGAGGTGCCTGTTTTTCTCCCAGCATCAACTGTATCAGAAGTGCAGGTAGCCAGCCTAGGCTGGCGACCCAGCTGTTAAATAGCTTAAGTGAAGTGCAGTGAACCCTGTTCTGTATCTGTATTGCTGCAATGCACTGCAAACCCCATTTTTTTTTTTAAAGCAATTGGGTTTTCTCCTAAGAAAGAATACATACAGGAGAAGGAATCAAAATCAGTGCACACTTTGATATTTTTTTTTTTTTTTTTTTTTTTTTTAATCTTTTTCCATCCCATTGCCTCAGTGCATTTTACGGATCTTAATTTTCACTCGCAACATCCCAGCAAAGGAGGTGCTAGCAAGCTTCCTCAGCTGTGAGAAATTGAAGTACAGGAAGCCTGAAGTACACACCTGAAGTGATAAAAAGCAGTGAGGAATTGCAGTTCCAGTTCTGTGCAAGGCTTTCTTTTTTTTTTTTTTTTTTTTTTTTTTTTCTGATTCAATGGAATTTTTTCACCCTTTTCTTCCAAAGGTCCCAACACAACTACTTGAGAATCACTCGAATTCTGAAAAGTCTTGGCGAGCTTGGATATGAGAGTTTCAAATCTCCCCTGGTAAAATTTATTCTCCATGAAGCACTTGTAGAAGATACCATTCCCAACATTAAGCAAAGTGCTTTAGAATATTTTGTGTATACTATTAGAGACCGAAGAGAAAGGAGGAAACTCCTGAGATTTGCCCAGCAACACTATACGCCCTCAGAGCATTTTATCTGGGGACCCCCAAGAAAACAGAAGTCAGAGGGAAGCAAAACAAATAAAAAGCCAGCATCTCCAATTTCTATTCACAATACTTGTATTTCTAAGAATAAGAAATCAAAAGAGCCTAAGAATATATCAGCAAGTGGAAGCTCAGCTGGTAAAATAACTGAAGAAAGAAAGGTGGAACTCATAAAAAATGGGGAAGAAAATGACCAGGATGAACAAGAAATGAACTGTGATGCTGTTAAGCAGAACAACAGTGAAAAGAACAATGATACCGATGTCAGTCAGCTTTCAAAATCAGAAGAAATTCATGATACTTCAGACAGGAAAGAGGATGCTTCTCATTCCAAAAAAGATGATGAAAACCTAAACAATGACTGTGGAAATCACCCAGGCACTGTAGAGAAAGATTTATGTGACACTGAGAATTCTTCAAATAACACATCAGCAGATCTACAGGATAACCTTGATAAGGATACACTTTCAGGGGGTACCACCACAATAAACAAGGATGAGCTCAAATCATGAATCTGAGGTTAAAAATCATTATGTTTCATATTGAATGAAGCAAATTATTCATTCCTCCTTCATTTTAGGTGAAATTTCCAGCTAATGTAGTATAAAATGTTGATGAGACTATGCTTGTTGCGAATGCATCAGATTAGGCTTCTGTTACGTTAATGAATTTGATTTTTTTGTCAACCTCAGTTTATCAGCAGTCAACCAGGTGTGGCTCTTTAAAACAATTGTGTATATTCAAAGCTAAGAAATCCATTATCTTTTCCAGACAGATTGCATAGAATAGCTTATCTATTTTTTTGCTATTAAATTAATCCAGTATTAAAAAACAACAACAACAAAAAAAAAAAACAAAACAAAAAAAAAACACCACCAAAAAACAACAAACCAAAAACCAAACCAAACATAGCTTACTAGAAAGTCTCAGAACATCAGAATTTTTATGTTTCTTTTAATATGCTTTAAGTGTTGATTTCCTTTTATGAAATTACTAGAAATTCTTTCAAGAGCACAGTCTTTTCCCTAGTGGATATTTTTTTTTAGGAACTATGTTAATGTTTAACAGCAGTATTTGCACAGCCTCTTTTACCTTAGATTAGCATCCTTGTCAGAGATACTTAGTAACGGATATCAAAATGTCCTATGCAGCTGGGTGTCATTGTACATTGAAAAAAAGTTTAACTTACAATGAAACTGTATTCACAGCTTTTGGGAAAAAGGGAAGTTGCACTTTAGACTTCTTTCAGTCCCTGTTATGTTCTCTCTTCTCTTGACTCATTTGTTACTACTACTAATTTGGGGGGAGACATCTCTTTGGTCACTCAGATTTGGTCTCAGTGTGAAAGCTCCTTGTTGATCAGCTGTAATAAAACAATTCCCTCAGCTGGGTTCAGCACCTGGAAAGCCTCTGGACAGCTGAAAATCAGTGTCTTCACCACAAAGCACTGATGAATCATCAAAGCTGCCAGAAAATATGTCACCAGGCCTGTCCAACTGGATCTTACCTGAACTTGGATGTTTCTTGGCCAGTTTTAGGTAAGGTCTGCACAATGATGAACCCCCTGTTGCTGGTCTGGGAGAGAAAGGCAGACCTGATGCGTCCTGCCAGCTGTCTGTTTCCTCTCTTTGCTCTCTGTCAGAGGTCTTTCACAGTTTAATGGTTTTTTGATCATCGGCTGAAACCCGAGGCAGGCCAGTCTGCTGGCCTGGCTGGAGCCCAGCAGGTAGGAATTTCCCAATTAAGATCTTTCCCAGCTTTCTTCATTGAAGGACTATCTACTTTCTCTGAGTAGCCCCTTCTGACTTCATGCCATTCAGTCAAACAAGGTAGTACCCAGCAAGTTAATTGTGTAGAATATGAATTTAAAAATAATGCAGGTAGAACTCACACTTTCTACAGGCGTAAAGTAGTCTAAAACTTCTGTATGTATTTTCTATTTAAAAGTGTATATATTATCCACTGCCTTTAATGTATTTTTGATGAAATGTTATGAGGCAAGTGGCTGACTACAGTTTGAGTGTCAGAGTGCTACAGGACTTTATTTAAGTCTTGTATAACTCAAAATGACAAAGTCTTCAGGGGTTTCAGAGCACAGAAAAAATGTCTTGTATTTTTCTGTTTTGCTAATTCCCATCATGGCAGTGCATTATCCATTGCTTTCCCCAGGTAACACTGTTTCTTGGGGTCAAATAGAGTGGCAATTAGAGATCTTGGTACCCATGGACAAATATTATGCTCTTTCCATCCTAAAGAGGCAGGGAAGAAGGAAGGCGTATCCCTCCTTCTCCTGTGCTGACTTGTAAGAAAAGGAACATATATAGATATATTTTTTTAAGGGTAACCCAGATTGCTCAAGGAGGCATTAAGTCTATCCGAGCAGAAATGCCTCAGAGAATTCCTCACACAGCCACTGCCTCTTTAAAGCTGGAAAGTTGATGAGAAGCCTTTCAGAATACCCTGGACTTGAACGAGGATCTCCTTGTTCACGTTTGCCTCTCACCATCAGAGCCAAAAGGGACACGAAATGCTGAGGTAAAATTGGTCTGTGTAGTTAAGGACTCTGACCCCACATGTACTCACAGGGAGGACAACTTTACGTTCTGCCTATGGCTTTTTAAATCTCGAGTGCCTAACTGTGCCAACTTAACAGTGTTGTTTTTACGTAGTTATATCTTGAATATCATAGGGAAAATTTATACCCTGTGTATGAGTGACATAACTGTAAGGTAGGTAGTTATACAGAGCCTTCAATTTATGGACTTTAGTATTAAGGTTAAACACTTTAAAAAAAAAAATATGTAGTGTTCAAGTGAAATAAGGGATGCCAAGGATATTGTTAGGTTTGTACTGTGATTTGATTGAACATCGATGACCTCAGGAGATCTTTTGTGTACTGAACAAAAAAATAAAAAGAGAAATCTTGCTCTAATTTTAAGCCAGAAAGCTCTTGGGATGTGCATCCAAAAGATTTCTCTGCAGTACAGTATTCTGTTATTGTGACACAGCTTTTACCTATACATGCTTGCTGGTTCTCCACTCAGAATGAAGTACTTAATGTCCTTTTAATCTGTCAGGGCTTGTCTGCAGTAAGAGCCCAGTGTATCTGAAAATACAGTCAAGAAATTTAGGACTCCTATCCTTGTTAAGTCTGCAATTATTTTTTTATTTTTTTTAAATCCACAACTCAGTTTCTATCAGTTTTCATAGAAGTGAGTAGTGACATACCAGTTGCCTACAAAGAACTATGGGGATTAGGTGAGTGAGGTTTTTTGTGTCAGGTGGTACTCCTGCACTCTGTAATCTTTGTTTTACAGTTTTATCAACAAAATTACTCCCATGGGACAATTTAACTTTAACTAACAAATTTTGCTCTATGTAAAATGTGATGATTTATCATTCTTTTCATGGAGGAGTTGTTTCTTCTGATTTTGCAAGTGCTTAGAAGAAGGATTCATTGCAGGGCAATCATGCAGTGTAGCATCCCATTGGGATTTATGAGGATCAAGTGGGTGCACTCTATCATTTCATTACAGAATCATGGCCCTGGCAACCAGAAGCACCCCGTGCTTGAAGTTTTTAAGTATTGGCTTTCAGGTTTACAGTACAATATATGTTGAAAAGATTGAATTCTCGTAAATACCAGTACTTAGTTATTTAACCATTACTTCAGAAACTGAGGGTGTGCAAAGAAAGTCAGGACATTTGCTCACTGTTAAACTTGGGTTTGTCTTGCTATACGCTTAAGTATTCAGGGATTTCTTTGTACTTACTACAATAATGTATTTTGGCCTAGTGTTTTACTAGTATCTGAGCAATTCATTTATTAATTAAACAGAACCTCCCATGTAGGGGTTCTTTTCTAATAAGTACATCTGAGTAGCCTCTGGTACTGTTAAACGGGAGTAGTGTATATATGCACACACCTGTGAACTTGATTTTAAGTATCCTATGATGAGGGGATATGAATGCACAACTTGACAAGATGTTGCTGAGTACACACATGCAGGTGAAGGCGATCGTACAAATCATGCAAAAATGCAGCACTTTAAGATTAGTTACAGCTCTGTGCCCTACTATCCAGGACATAACTGCCTCGGTAGCTGATACTGTGTTGGTGTAGAGACTGAAAGCTTGGGTACATGAGGTGTGCACCATAGGCCATCCAGATAAGAAGAGCAGTTATGCATGTGCACACATCTGGGAGCAGACCTGAGCTCTTGGTGTCCATATTGCTCATGTTTAAAGGTGTGATCCTGAAGGATGCTAAAAATACTGTCAATAAGCCTTTGAGAGCTGTTCACTGGTTTGGTTGGCTCCTCAGTTTCCTGCTCCAAGATTGCAGCAGCCTGATCAATTAGGTATTTGTATAATCATAGTCAATATTTCATACAACCTAGTGTAAGCCTCCTTGAATTATTTCAGGATAATTGTAACAATCTGCAGTTACATATACTCTTACTATAATCAGAAAGTTTACAGATCTTGGAAGCTTTGTCTAATTTTGATGGATGATCCAATAAGATAAGTCAAGGGAGATTTACTAGATTTAAATGGAAAACAGCTCTTGTTTTCTTTTTAAGTAAAATTTATGTATATCTGTTTAATTAAATTTTTTTTTCACCTTTCTTTTCCTGACGGTTGTGATGGTACTGATCACAAATTATAGTAAGATATATATGTTTAAGTGAAAATTCAGTTCTTATTACACCATAGTTTTACAGGTAACATTACACTGAATTTCCTTGACAAAAGCTGTATTTCTGAATAAGATGCAAGTATGTGAAATAAGTTTTGCCATTAATAAAAGTGTGACAATGTCATGCTAACGATGTACGTTGTCCTAAGTGTTACCTAAGATGTTTCTAGCCTTGTATCCTGCCTCCAGCAGTGGCCACCAACAGATGGTGTGAAACAAAGAACAGATGAGGTGACCCAGATTTTCTCCAGGAATTTTTCAGTTTTTGAACTCAAGGTTTCTTTCAGGCTCCACGGTCCCTTGTGGCTGTGAGTTCCATGTTTTAGTTGTTTTGTGTGGAAAAAGTGATCTCTTGTTTGTCTCAGATCTGTTTATTCAAGAATTGCTAGTGCATATTGATACAGTTACTAAAAGTACTGTAAGATGAACAGTAATTCACTTCAAGTCAATCTTTAAAAGCTGTGGGAGATTCTAATGATAAAATACCCGCTTAGGTGGAAAATATCCTATGTTACTGTCCTTAGGCAGATGATGTCTGCTTAGGCAGAAAAATTGTCCTGTGTTGATGACAGTATTCTCTTATTTGTCCCTTCTGAATAAAATTTTACACATAAATCCTTTTGTGTGAAGTATTAGAAGTCAGATTCCAACTGCAGAACAGATTTATTTTTTTTTCCTGTCAGTGTAAAAGCAAGACCAGTCAAAGGCAAAACCTATTCCTAGCCCACATCTGAGTGAGGTACCTCTAGGTTTGGAGACACCAGCATCAGTGAGTGTAACATTGTGATCATGTAGAAGACAAAAATAGGGGTTTGCTGAGTACCATACACCTCATTCCACATTTTGGTAACTTATTTTGATACGTGTCCCCAATTTCAGTTGCAATTGGGGTAACTGCTCAAAAGGTGGTTTTGGTGGCCATCGGAGCCTGACAGTAAAGAATGGGTCACAAAGGCGAAGCGTAGGCAGCCTGCCCTCCGTCCCCATCGTGGTCAACATCCTAGATACACTACTGACAGGTAGTTAGATGCAGTTCTCCAAGGGGAATGTAACTTGTGTCTCTGTAATATCTTTGTGCTCTGTATTGCCTATGAACTATTTATTTTCCTGAAAGCTGTGTTCCTTTTACAGCCCACATTCTTAAGTATACTTACTTAAGACCATTGGGGAAAGCAAGAGTTTATTTTAAAGAATATATTTAATACATGACATACCTAATGGACTAGTAAAATACAGTTCAAAAGCTATAGGGATCAATTAAATAGAGACCTCCTGTGGCTTTACACTTACAATCACGTTTATTTTCAGAAGGATTAAGCTGTTTGCTATAAAATAACAAATGTGAGAATTGCCAATTTGTTCTGAAATAAGTCTCTCACTTCTTAGAAACTCATCCCTTTTTAATTCTACCATGCTTACAGGTCTGGTGGAGTATTCCTCAACTAAAGTTTATTGTGAAATATACTAAATGTATTTACTACTGTGGCTAACTATGTGAAAACTATTGTTTTGCTGTAAAAAAAAAAAAAGTTATGGCACTTATTTTTGGTATCTACTGAAGCATGTTTGCTTATCATTACTTGCTCTTTTTATGTGTTTTAACCTATTCCATGGTTGTTTGCCCTTTATGCTGTTTGAGTTCAGCAACAGATGATTAGGTATAGTTTTGCACTGATAAAATTTGGAAATATCATAGACTTCATTGTTAAAATGTATTCTAAGAAAAAAGTGCAGTAAAAAGAAAAAAACCAAAACCCAACTATTTTGACTTGCAAAATGAAACAGCTACGTGTCAGTTTTTATGAATGGTCCTGCTCTCTTCTCTGTATTCCTTTGCAGTGTTTAATTACAGAATGCCGTGCATGTTTGGTAGTACCAATACCATATGTATGTGGTAGGAGTGGTAACCAGTTTCTGGATTTGTAATGCACTATAAAGATATATTTTATAATTCTGTAACTGTATGGCAGTGTTATGCCAAAAAAAAATATGTATAAACGTAAAAAGCAATAGTTTTTGTTGCTTACTGCTATATTTTAAATCGTTTGTAAAATGAAATACTTGGATTTCCTTTCAGGTAAATATATTTTTAATAACAGCAGCCAAAAACTCTAAACTAATAAAGCTTCTTCATTTAGCAGCATTGTTTTAGCAACATGTACAAATATTGTGTATCTCTAATAATGTGTAATTGCTGTTCAGCACTTGTTTGTATAGTCTTCTGTAAACGTATTAACACTTAAAAAGTAGGGCATTAAAGGCTCTGGTTCTCCTTTTTTGTTGTCAGTGGGAAAACCACCATGGATAGCAGAGGAAGCAGGGAAGGCCCAGAGTGAGCTTTATTAAAAGTTAAGTTTTTTTTTTTTTTAAAGAAAAATATACACTATGCAAACACGGTTAACATTAAAGGGTAAAATATCCATTATGATTGTGCAGGCAAAAAGCCTCTGGAGCAGTGCCAGCAACTGGCTACTGCTGCTTGAACTTAGCAGGGGAATATTTAATCTGCTGGTTGTATTTATCCTGCACTGAAGCTGTAGAATTGGATGGTTTCATCTCCTTTCCCCCCCCCCCCCCCCCCCCAGTTTTGTGGTAAACTGTTATTCAGAGGGTGGGACTGCAGAATTATGTAGCTCTATAAAGGGCCCAGCAGGTTGGGAGAGGGCTTCCTATTCTCACACGTTTCTTCTCAAAGCGAGGGGAAGCAGGTGTTCCTTATACAGAAGGAGGGCTTCATATGTGGTCTGTGTCTCAAATGAAGCTTGGCATTGACATGGGTATATTAACTTACTTCCATGTTCTCAGGTCATCCAGGGATGGGGTTGACCTGGTAGGCAATAATGTAATGTGTCAGTGTGTTGGTTTCCCCAGAAAATTCAGTTACAGCTTTCTGAGGCAACTGCCATGGTTCATCTGCTCGTTGGCAAAGAGTGGCTGCAAGGCAATTGCCCTCTTTTACTCTTGGAGTATAAACTTCACAACTCAAGGTCCACGGCTTAACACTTAGTTAAGTTGCTGGCTGTTGTACCAGCAACTCCAGGCTTTGAGCACATCTGCAGTAAAATGATTGTTCCTGTGTGAGCACGGACCCCCACGGGTGCCAGAGCCGCTTCTGAGGTTTTCTTGGGTAAGAGCATAAACTGATATCCCAAATCGAGCTGGCCCTAGTTAAATTAAGACAAACCAGCTTCTGGAAGAGGTGGAACAAGGAGGTGGTGGCCATAGCACCCCGTGCCCTGCCTGCTGCCTCCCCCAGCCCAAGGGGTGGGAACACGGGGGCACGCTGTCCCGCGGTGCCTTTGGGTCAGCAGGGCAGCCAGCTGCGCTCTCCCCACCTCCCTGAAAATATGATGGTGGGTGGATAATCCATGCATATCTCTCAGGGCATGCACTCACCTGCTTTGCTCTATTTTGGGGGGTAAAACCTAGGAAATTTGTGGGTGATGGGGGGGGGGGGCACACAGATCCCACTTCTGCACTGGTGGGAAGAGTGCGCAGCCAGGAAGGACCAAGATGACAGCGCTTGTGTTTGTGCAAGGGGAGTTAGGAAGCAGTTTTATTATGCAGAGAGTGACAGTGGAGATGGCTGTAATAAATCTAAACCGCCTCTGTTGTTTAGGGAATTAAACCGCAAGGTTTTGTTTTGATTTTGTTGGTTCACTGTAACAGACCTGTACCATAAAATTGGGATGAGAATATTTTATTTTGATATATGCGGATGATCGTGAGCGAGGCCTAAAATGTCTATGATGATGACATTAATTGCAAAAATGTGATTTAGCTAACAAAACCTGGGAATACTCTTCTTAAAATTACATTTTAATGGATTTATTTTCCTTTGAGTTGGCTGGGTAATAAACTGGAGGACAAAATATTAAATATCTTTACTCCCTGGGGTCAAACAGGCTAAGTACTATGGGGTCGGGGCGATCCCAAGCACAAATACAGGCTGGGTGGAGAATGGATTGAGAGCAGCCCTGCGGAGAAGGACGTGGGGGTGCTGGTTGATGAGAAGCTCGACATGACCCACCAGTGTGGGCTTTGCAGCCCAGAAAGTCAACCCTGGGCTGCATCAAAAGTGTGGAGTACAAGTTTATCGACTCGTTTGTACCCAATATAAGGGTTGCACTTCAGCTCCATGAAGCCTGTTCCTTACAGTGTGGTTCTTTTCAGTGTTTCTGCACATCCACTCTTCCTGCCCCCACTGGAGTCCCCGGTTTTGTCTCTGCCTTGGGACACTGTCACTCCTGGCCAGCACGGAGAGCCGGTCAAGCAGAGTCTGGGGTTGGGGTCGTAACATGGCCCTACTCCCACCTCCCCAAAGATGCTGTAATCAAACACGCTTAATTTTCCTATAAGGAGATGAGCTGAAGATTTGGCCTTCTCACAGCTGGCCTGGGATCTGCTACTGATGGCCAGGGCCCAGGGCTAGGCAGGGCTTTGTTCTGCCTCACCGCTGGGGTCTCCTTCCTGCAGGCTAAGTGATGTGCCCAGTGGGGTTATTGACCTGCACAAGTGCAATTACTTGCAGCAATTACTGGCAGCTCAGCCCTTTCCTTATGGTTAATCTTGGTCTGCATGTTATGGGGTGAGCTTAGAAATAAAATTATTTTCCAAGAATTCTCCCCATGAAAAGCCAATTTAAGAAGGTTTAATTAGGCCCAAGTGTTTGCCTTATCTGATAAACTCTTGGAATTCTTCTTAAATGTTTTTCTATAGTATATGAAATGCATTAGACATTTTTGCAGGCAATATTCTATAGACATCGTAATTTCAAGGCTTACTGAATGTAGGAAGAACATTTAAAATTCAACTGGCTCTTTCTATTTTTATTTAATGTATAAATCAGACATAATTCATGCATAGTTCCTTCCAGGTTTAGACATTTATTGAGCACTATGTATGGTTATAAACATTTTGTGGCAGCTGTTTCAAATTTCAGAATAGAAATAGAAAAAAAAAGAAACCTCACATTTTCACTTCTCCAATTTCCTTTGAAAGCTTAAACAAGAAAGCTTCTAATTTTCTGCTTCCAAACTGGCAGCTGAAATTAGGGCCTTGAATTACTTCTGAGAACTAGGACTTGGGACCTTCAGCCCTACATGGGACCCTCAGTCACTTGGAGGCAAATCTGTAGCACTTAGTTAACTAAAAATGCAGAAATGTAGTATAATTTACCAAAACTATGAGACACTTAATGCTGATACTCAGTTAACAATTGCCCTCATGAAGACTATGAAGGGGTTTTCTGTTGCTTCTTGCTCATCCTCAGTCACCGCCGTCACACGCTCAAAGCCATCCCTGCTTGGCCACCATGCCCGACTGAGCGCCCAACACCGTGGAGCTGCCCTCTGTAACTAGCACTGGTGGCCACGGTCCTTCGTGGCCTCAGCCATGAGGTGGAGGGGATCACACCCAGGAGCTCTTCCGTGAGGAAGCGGGCACCTGCTTTCACTTAGCCCCAGATTTGGTCCCTTTATAAGGTGGCTGAGCTTCGAGGCCTCCGCCCCAGCCCACACGCCGCCCGATCCTGGCGGGGATGTTACTTTCCAGGCTGCATTGGGTGCCTCACCCTGCCTGCTCACTGTTTCTTTCCTTGCTCAGCTGCTGCTCCCTTTCCTAAAGCAGAAGCAGGCTTTTCCCGGGTCTCTTCCTTGCACTTTTTCAGTGGTGAGTAACGGCCCATCCGTGCACCGTTGGTTGTTCTGGGGACTCCTTCCTCAACCGGTGCCCGTGTTTTCAAGGCCTTTGCTGTCATCCCACCCCTAAACTGTGCAGCCACCTGGTACCAAGCTCCCTTCACCCAGTGAGATGATGACAGACCTGTAACCCCTGCGCCAAGGCAGTGCAGCCTTGCTGACGGTGAGGAGCAGCGAGGAAAGGCCACCATCCCTTGGGAAATGGTCCAGCCTGCGTGGGGAGTACCACTGCTTTTAAGGAAGGAAACAAGTGTAAGTGATTGCAGTGAGCCTTCCCGTGGCCTTATGTGAAATTCCCCAAAAGACTACATTCAGGTATCAGTTTGTTTATGGTAATGAACGCCCAGTGCCATAAAGCCAGCAAGAATATGTCCCAGTAGTGCTTTTTAGAAGCTTTTCAACACTTTGGATAAAATGTTGCTGACAAAATTTCAATCTTGAAATCTCCTGCAACCATCAGATAATTAAGAAATGTTGCTGAGTCACACTCACATAGGGTAAGTGCCTCCCTGGGGCACGGCTGGGGACACCAATGCCTATTTCAGATGTGTCCCAAAATGCAGCAGATGTGAATGATTAAGTAACATACCCCGTGGCACATTCTCTGCTGACTCATTTACTGCACTGCTACTGAGATAATAGGAGTCCTATCAGGTAAATTCAAGGCAGAGTTTTGCCAGGACTTTACAAAGATCTTTTCATAGACACTCAGAAGGATGATAAATTTATATAATAAGAGTCACATTATAGTTCAAGGATCTCTCCTGGAGAGAATCTGACTCATCTGGGACTTGTTTGTTGAAATTAGAAATGGGACGAAAGCTGTCCCAGAGATTCTTCCTCCATTGACACCAAGCCTCACCCACTTTCTCAGGAATTATTTGGGAAAACATAACTCACAGACTTCTGCTGTGAGCAGCCTAAGAACAAAGGTAGGACCTTGGTGACTGAACCTTTTGGCATGAAATAAAAATATAAAATTAAAAAAATAGCATACCAAATGTGACATTTGTCATCCAGGTAACCCTAAATTGTCTTACCTATTAAATCATATGTTTCCTAGATGCCTGATGTCCCACTTCTGGCCGGTCTCTGATGGTAAAGTTCCAGTGTCAGGAGGCAGATGGGAGTTAATGAAATGTTTTGAGGTTCTGTGAGGGGGGATGCTCAGAGAAAAGGCACAGAAAGGACTCTGTTGGATTGGAGGGTTTCTGACCCAAGGATACTGTTGAAGTAATGACTTAGGGATGAAAAGAGGAGCTTTCGTGCCATTGTGAGATGGACTGTGTATAGACTGAAGGTGAGTGCTCCCCTCTTTACCTACTCACGTTTTCAGCCAGAGCTGATTGGATGTCACTGACTTGGAGACAAGTAGAAACATTTCAGAAGAGATACATTGCATTCAAAATCCTGATGGTCTATGAATCTGCAAATCTATTTTCACTTTACTGTAATTTGAGCGAAAAGCTTTGTTAAAAAGTCCTGAGCCTACCCTGAGCTTGACTTCCTCAAGGGCCAGCAACCACTCTGTAGATCCTCATGGAGCAACTGTCCTTACTC